CCCGCGGGCCACATGTTTGACGCCCCTGTCCTAAACCCTTCCTGTGTATCCAGTGTCTCTCAGGTCTGTGGGGTTCTAAACGCAGCACGGAGAGAGTCAGACGATATGAAATAAACTGTTTGATGATGTTTATCCACCAGGAGCTGGATTTGATCTGAGCGACAAAATCAATCTTTAAAACCTGTCTGTGTGTCTGTGTGTGTGTGTGTGTGTGTTTTCAAACAGAATCCGTCATCACTTTAATAAACTGTTACTTCCACACCGCGAGCTCTCGGTGATGAGTCTCTGTTCTCACAGTGTTTATAACAGATTATAAAAACATCCAGAATTATTCTGTGAACACAGGAACCCCGGCCGCGGCTCAACTTAGTCTGTCAGTTAATTAAAGGCTTAGGTTGGTGCAATTTTTTTTGCCAGAACAAACTGTTTACTGCGCTCAATAAAGGAATATCAGATTTTACTGCGTCTAATTCCCCCCATCAGAATAATTTATTTCTGCAAGGCTAGCAGAACATTTTCGGCGGCTAATTGCTGACCAGAGTCGTACAGTATTTATGGATTTTTTTTTTTCGACACAAATTACTATGTTGGAAACTGGGATTTGAACCAGTGACGTTTCAGAGTCGGGGAGGGCAGAGAGGTCACGGAGGTCAAATACTGTTGTCTTTTTCTATTTTACGTGAACATTAGCAGACGTATTCTCTAAATGACGTTTAGGGGGCAGTAATGGCACCTCGCAGGAATACGGCGGAATTCAAGGTTAGCTTAGCCTCAGTGAAGCCTTGGTGAGTGGTTAAAAAAAAAAATTCTTGAAGACAAATGCTAGGTCCTAGCACATCGCTAATGCTAATATGATGCTATCACACTCACACTCAATCTCACCATCAAGTCGCATCAAATACTGTACTTACTGCCACCGTTAATTTGGTGGGTGCTAGCTCGCGCAACGCTAACGCTAATATAATGCTATCACACTCACTCTCACCATCAAGTCGCATCAAATACTGTACTTACTGCCACTGTTAATTTGGTGGGCGCTAGCTCACATATCGCTCACATATCGCTCACATTCCAGGTGCTAGCATCTCAATAATGCGTTACTATAGGATCCATTTGTTTGTTTTATGTAGAAAGTTTACGTTGCTACAGTACGTTCTGGTCATATTTTTTAACGTTTCAATTGATTTAAGATTTCCAGGACGTTTTATTAAGTTTTTTTTTCATCATTTAAAAACAGAGCACGATTCTCTTGTTACTTAGAATTCACTAAAATATCTCATTACAGTATCGGCTGACCCCAGGACCTGCAGATCAGAATTTTAAAAAGTGGTTTTTTGGAAGCTGAATTGGACAAAATTGGTTTCTGTCAAATCATCTTTGTCCTTTAATATCAAGACGTGAAATCCATGTTAAACAGTAGGGGGCGTGGTTAAGAGTAAAAGGTCAAATATTGTTTAAAGGTTGTTTTTTTTTTCACCAAACCTCAATTTTAGGCCACATTTAATTTTTTTCCTGCAAAAAAGTCACATTTTTAACCTCAAATCAGATCGTCCAGTCAAAGCTTCAGTGAAACAAGCGCCGTTAAATGTGTTCCTAGCCTCCTGGTGGTAACAGGAGGTATTACAAGGAATGTTAGCTTAGGTTTTAGATGCTCGTCTTTTTCTAACCTACTGGATGTTTGGTGCTAACAGTCAAACTAACCACAGAATCTGAACTTAGAACCTTTCATTATCGGAGTAAAAACCAATAACGATTCTTACACCTATTACATAATTATGCTAATATCTGGCCGATAATATCTGTCGCTCCCTGACTTTCATGCTAATATCTGGCCGATAATATCGGTCGCTCCCTGACTTTCATGAGGCTTTCGGTTCAAAAAACACAACAAAGAGCTATCCTGCCACACGAGGCAGCGTTGTTATCCTAGCTCCGTAAAGGAAATTTCAATTTTTTTTAAAAGTCCTGTTTCTGGCACAACACTGACAAAAAAACTTTCTTCCAGATTATTGGACTCACTAAGCCGACAGGAAAGCACAGGAAGGTGAAGACACCGATCCGTGTTTGTTTCTGACTCCCCCACATCATCACCCCCACAGTCAGATGTGAACCCTGCACAGGAAGAACTGATAAAATACAATAAAAGAACTCCATCCAGCACTGATGTATGCCCACTCTGCCTCTCCCACCGCTGCTCTCTGAGCCCTGGGTCAACCTTTTCTTCCATTTTTATTTCCTTCTTCTCCTGCTCCTACATTAACGTGGGCTCCTACATTAGCGTGGGGTTGTTACAGCAGCGGCAGCAGCAGCAGCAGCAGCAGCAGCAGCAGCAGCAGCTCCTCACACCCCCTTCCTGCTCCTCTTCATTTTTCAGCACCACCTTACACTCGCTGACGACTATTTTTTTTAAAATCCTTTTCCTCTTCCTCTCCGCAGCTATTGTACTTTTTTTTTCTCCCTTACATGCCCTTCTCCTCACCCATTCTCTCACCCGTACAAACACTCTCCTCTCCTGCTGCCTCCCCTTCCCTCCCTCCCTCCCCCCCGTCTACACCTCTAAGGCGATCAAACAGCGGGAGTTTTCAACACAGCAGATGCACTGGTGAGACGGGCGGGGGGAGGAAGGGGGAGGGAGGGGGGTGGACAGAAGGTCAACGTCCAACCCGAGTATCGAGATC